GCTCTCGATCGATTACCGAGATGCTGTTTTGCAGGGCAAAATATGCCCTTTAAGTGAAGAAAGAGGCAAACCCAGAATGATGATATGCTTGCAAAGAGCTTTTATCTGATATGATGACAGTTAAGCCTGAATTCATCCACAGGTGGCCCAGAGATTCTAGTGTCATTTCCTTTTTGGACTAGATGAATTGTGGAGTGCGGAACTTGGTAAGCACTGCTTGCATGACTCTATTAGGCACCAGCTGTCATTGGGCTGTTCGGACCTGGTTTTCAAGACATCAGGTATATGTATATCTTAATGAATATCTTAATTCCCAAATCTGGCTGTAAATTCGATCGTATCAGGGCGACACTTGAGATTCTGCCAAAAATTACGGAATTTTCGTCACGACGGTAAATAGTGCGGAAAATGCTCTGAAAATATACGAATATATACGAATCAAAACTATACGAATTGAATCGTTCGGTCGAAATTTTGAAAGAACATTTTGTATAATTTTTTTTCGAAATGACGATAACCTCGGGATGTTTACCCGAAGATTTGTAATTTTCTTACACCTTCCAATAAATCTTCGTTTACATCAGATCTCGACAGGTTTACTCAAATTTCTTTAGCTAAATAAGATAAATCTTAATTGTTAGCAAACGTCATGACAGGTTAAGGAACACATTTTGGCAGTTGTCTTCTGTATGTTGCGGTTGTCAATATCATCTTTACCTCCGAAATAGGTGGACATTTTTATGTGTAGGTCATTTCCATGTTTGGTTGTCGTGCCAATTCCGCCTTGTAATTCATGTGATATCCTGTTTTGCATAAGTAATAAACATTTGGCCCTCTCCCCGCCCTGATAGAGCCATTAAGAACTCGCCTCTCAAAATGCATGTAGGCACATATTGACCAGCAGTCAAAGATAAGGGTAAGTAAAGTATCCGTGTTCAGGAAAACACCAGTGCAACAGCAAGATATTTCGACAAAACTAAGAGATGAATACGAATTCACAGTTTACGGCTGGAATTGAGACCATGAAGAATCAACACCTGGAGAAAAACTCCAAGCTTCGTTTGGCGAAATACTTCCTGCTTTGTTCTTTGTCTCTTCTTATGATTCAAGGTATGATCATGCTGTTAAAATTTCATTGGCCATTGTGCATTCCTTAAAATTTAGTTCATCAACTATGGCGTCTTTTGTTGTTTATTTGGTGGCAGAAAATGAAAAATAACGAGAAATTAATCGACTTTTTTCATCGCCCGCGGTTAAGAAATCCTGTTTGCAAGCCTTCTTGGCTTCCCGGGACAAACGTCCTCGTTATTTCTTAAAAATACCAATATGTATACTTCATTGCATACGAGGAAAATCATTCCAGATATTTCAGAAAATTTAAAAACCTTAAAACAAATGTACATACATCACTACGTCTTTATTTTAGTATCACAAATTACAAAGGATTTTGTTGCTCTTAACAGCGAAACCTCTTACAAAATTTACGCTCTGTACACTTTTGCTTAAAAGAGAATTTTCAACATGCCTAGGTTTGCTATAAAATACTAAACAGTCTTTCAAATTGATCAATTTGACAAGCATATTTCAAAGGCAAATGGACTGCAGTAAATTTAAGACTTTGCTTATTTATCCTCGCTACCCGCCAACTTTGGCGCCACAAAATAAAATGGGTTGATAAGATTACAGTTAAGTTTTGGTTATGACGTCCTCCATTATTCAATCTTTTAACTGTTGTGAATGTTGGATTACTCCGACCTTCAAATTTTAGATTATCTGAGTTTTTTGTTATTCGGACTTGTCTCTGTTGTTTAGGTCACATTTGAATAATAATGAGTCACTGTCCAGGTGGTATTTGTCGGTGAAACGAGCAATAAAGCCATTCACCGAATGCAACTTAGACGAAAGTCATCGTTACTTACTCTAAACATAACCCATTGTTTACCGAGCAACATAAGGTTTTTGGAAAGTGAATATGTATCCTCGTTCTCATTTTGATTCCGATCCCGGCATATCTGGGACTCTCCACTCTTTTTACATTCAAAATACACCTGAACCAGTCGTTAGGAAATACAGCATTGTCTTCACTGTCTCCTTATGGATTTATTAAATATCAACAGTCGCTCAAAAAATCGACGTGTTTTATCGACGTCACCGTCGTAGCTACTTACCTTTTAGTCTACATGATGCCGCGGTATCCTTATATTATATGGTGGGCTCTATAATTCATATATGACATCCTGTTTTGCATAAATAACCAACATCTGACCTACTTCCCGCCTCGTTGCAAGCATTAAGGACTGTTTCCAAAATTTAAACAAATCGCGTGAAAGGGAAGGCACATATTGAGCAGCGATAAAAGGTAGAGGAGGGTAAACTCGTTGAAGAACACACTAGTGCAACAGCAAGAGACAAAGCTAAGTGATGACCACGAATTCACAGATCGCGGCTGGAATTGAGACCATGAAGAATCAACACCTAGAGAACAACTTCAAGCTTCGTTTGCTGAAATACTTCCTGTTTTGTTCTTTGTCTCTTCTTATGATTCAAGGTATGTGAAGTGAATCACGCTGTTAAAATTTCATGCGCCATTGTGCGTTTCTAAAATTGTAGTTCATCAACCATATCGTCTTTCGTTGTTTATTGGTAGGAGAAAATGAAAAGTAACGAGGAATTAATTTTCTTTTTGTCGCTTGCAGTTAAGAAGCTTTGTTTGCATTCTTTCTCGCCTTGACGAGACAAAATCCTAGTAATTTCTTCTACACTTCATTGCATTTGGGCAAAATTACTCGAGGTGGTCGGCGAAATTGTATGTAAAAGAAATGTATTGTCCATAACGATGTTTGTTCTTTAAACTATTGCAAGAGTATTCCGTTCTAATCCTTTCTTGATAAAACAATTTTAACAATAGGCATAGATTTTCTGTAAAATACTAAACAGTGGACAATTTCCATTCAACCAAAAATTCCGAAATTTTCTAAACTGGGACACGTGGTACGGAAATTTCCTGGGAAAGGTTCCGGAAAATTCTAGAAGTTCCACCATGAAAATCAAATGTAACAGAAATTTCCAGCAAAATTGCCTCCAGCATGTTGGTATACCTGAGAAGGTTGTCCTCTTTTTTTTATTCACCGCTAGTTCTTTTGACCGCGATCACAGCGAGTTGGACATCTCACGCTATTAGATGACGGCGACGCGTCTTCGAAAATGGATCAAGATTTTACTTTATAATATAGCCACCTGTCTGTCGATGGAATACTAGCTACCGCTAAATACGCCAAGAAAGTGTTTAATTCCGTTAAAAAGATATGCCCGTGGTGTTCACGTTCTTTTTTTTTTTTTCTTTATAAAACCTGAAATTGAAAATGAACTGTTGTTTTGCAAAGGATGGCTAAGAAATTTACGGAAATTTTTAACACGTGCAGAACCATTGTACCACTCATTAAACCCTTTGTTTTGCGATGTTTTCGCTGCCGTTGTGGTTTGTATAAGGTCCCCGCTTTTGTGGTCTTAAAGTCACAGTATTCTGGTTGCTTAGCGATTTAAGCCACAAAGGACCCGAACACTGTACAAAGCGGCAGACAAGATGATATTTGAAATGTAACCCGCACTTCGCTTCTATTCAAATCCCTTCTCAACGGCTCAAAAAGACACAGGAACACAGGTAAATAACAGTAAATTTATTTTAAATGATTATGCTATTGTTGATACAGTGTTCGGGTCCGCTGTGTTTAAAACTTGAAGTCATTGAATAATCTCAAGCAAACAAAAGTCTGGGAGAGTCAGGGTCAGTCAGCCATTTTCAATTTTAGAGGTAACAATTTTGAATGGAATGGGCTTATCGTTTTCCACTCCGGCTGTGCAGTCAACTGAACCAGAATTTTTGGTCCAATCGAAAGCGCCCGGCCTTTCCAAGTTATCTTTTTAATAAGTACATGAATTTTTAATGAATATTGAAAAATGGGTATAAAAATAAGATTATTATATATATATATATATTTTTTTTTTTTTTT